CGGTCTTCTCAGACACTACCACAATGTGCTTCTTAGCTTCCTCAAGCTCCTTCAGTGCAATCTCTAGCTTGTCCTTAAACTCTTTTCTCTCACGAACAACATGCTTAAGCAACTTATCTTGACTAATCGAAGCGGTGCTCAAAGATTCAACCTCAGTAGCAAGCTCATCAGCAAAAGGTGGTACCTGACATGTATCATCATCGTCGGATACCTCACCATCGCCGCTCACCACCTCATCACCAAGAGCCATGGTGCAGAAGCCTTTCTTGGTGGTGTTGGCTTGGAAATATAGTCGACTAAACTTGTCCTTGATCTTGCGCTTGGACTCATTGTTGCTTGAGGTGGAAGAGTAGCTATCGGTGGAGTCCTTCCCAAGATCGTTGTGGGAGTTGAGGAAGGCACGATCATGAGCCTTGGCCTTCTTGAGGTACTCCTTCTTGATCGCCGCCTTGTCGAATCCTCTCTTCAACTTGTGCTTGCCGGAGGTGTACTCACGCTTGTCCTTGCGCTTCCCGGAGTCATGCTTGCCGGAGAAGTTCTTGTTCTTCCTGGGGCAGTGGGCGATGAAGTGGCCAGGATCTCCACAGCCATTACAACCATCCTTCGGACCACCATCGCGCCAGCGGTTCATGTGGTTGTTGTGAAACCGCGAGAACCGGTTGATGACCAGTGCCAGCTCATCGTCCCCATGTGCCTCCATCTGCTCCTTTGTAACAAACATCAAAGAAGACAAGGCAAAGGAGATCTATGAAGGGTTAGCTAAAGAACTTGAACCATTACCTGAGACCAAAGCCATAATCGGTGTAGAGGGATTCTTGATTTTAGCTTGGGTCTGGTAATCGATCTGAATGGACTTGAGCTTGCTGAAAAGCTCATCCACGGTGAGGGCATCGTAGTTAGCGGACTCAATGATAGCGGACACCTCCACATCTTTAATAGCTTGACTCCTATTTGAACTGGTCGGAACACTGATCTCGATGAGTTGCTGCAAGTTGGACAGCTCAGATGGATGCAAGATGGTGTTGCTTAGCAGATGCGAGGTGCTCGGGGACTAGCTGTGGGGGTATGACCCCCGGTACCCATAAGGATCCACATGGGTTGAGCCGCTAGGGGAGGCCCAGCCCACAAAACTATGCATGGGTCATGCCACTGGTCGAGGCCTAGCTCACAAGACAACGCCACATGAAGTATGTCGCAGGACGACGTGCTTCACAAGGCAACATAAAAGTTATCGATGATCGATGAAATCTGCTCGAATATGATAGATATTATACGATCTGTAACTTCCTATCTTGTAAACTGATCAAAATAGAAATAATCGATCTATAAACCTACCCCCAAGCTATATAAGGTGGGTAGGGACCCCCATGTGGGGATGGGAGGATACGCAATACAAACCACAAAGGCATAGGACGTAGGGTTTTACGTCATGCTGATGGCCTGAACCTGTATAAATCTTGTGTCTTGTGTCTCTATTACTATCTAGTTCGTATAACGCGCACCTCCACTAATTCATCTACTACCGTGGGCATACCCCTCGGTAGACTGTCGGTCGTATTTCGTCGACAACATCCCAAACCTTCCGACCTAAGACGTATAGTAACTTGAGAGCCCTCTCATGATCATCATAAGGCAGCTGCGGTTTGTTTGCCCGCATCTTATTCACAATTGACAGAAAGCGAAAAAACATGGTATCGACAGACTCTCCATCCAACTGAGAGAAGTTCTCATACTCACACTTATATGTCTCAAAGAGTCTAGTTTTGACATGTGCGGTTCCCTTGGGATAGCTCTAAAGCCTCACCTAGATCTCTCGAGCAGTAGTACAATCAGAGACTCTCTCAAACTCAGAAAGCGAAAGACTCAAAAAGAGAATACTACGAGCCTTGCTATTTACGTTGTGTTGGTCGATCTGCTCCTGAAGATGCACAGACATGCGGATCATCCGGTAGGGGTAGTTTGTTCCATCGAAGTACGACGGTTTGCCCGAACCGCGCTCCATGTCGCCTTCATGGATCACGGACCGATTAAGGTGGAATGATCCTTTACCTGCTCCAATACCAATTGAAGGACCGAAAACAACGACCAGAGAGGGGTGAATGGGAGCCATAAAATTTCTCCAAATTCTTTTGGCCACTGTCCCAAAATTACCGCCAAACGCGCAAACCAAACACCGTGATCTCCACGACACAAAGCGGGTGGATGTTTCCTAGGACCACAACGAGACACCACAAAGCGAACGAACCGTGAAGCACTCACTCCAAATCGAGGAACAGAAAATAGGATACTCAACTCCTATTGAATAAAGTGAGTTCTCAAATCTAAAATACCCAAGCCAACTGGTGACAAGAGTATCTAGATAAATTTCTTGGATGGGTAGGAAGCCATGGGAAAAACCAGAACGCAAATGGGAGATCGAACGAATAAACAACGGATGAAAAAGTGAGTTCGGAAATTATAGGCCGGAAATTCCAAAGCCTTCAACTAGAAATTCCAGCCCGAAGCACAACAACAGCACGTCGGTCACCTTGAAGCTAAGACCGAATCACTAGATGAGATTGGAGTCCATGTGCTGTACAGGAACGAAAATCCCTCAGGAGTCTGACACATGTGGCTCAACCGGTTTCACAGAAAACAAGCAGAGGGAGAGGAGAGACCGAACAGAGATGGACCAAGCAGCTCGGGCAACGGACCAGCTCCTCCTGGAGTCCAAATCTCATGGAACCAAAAACGCATGGAGGGAGAGAGCGAGGTTACGGCCATGAACAGCAAGGAGAAAGGCCACACACGACCTTGGCAAGCTGCGCTTGCAAAGACCACGACCGGCCACGGCGAGCTATTCCCTGCAGAGCGGACGAGCAGGCCACCTGGGCCTCACGGGCAGGCACTGCTCGGACTGGATTCGCACAAATCAAGGAGCGCTCCTGCTGCTGGACGTGAGCGCTGGCTGCGGCGCGGGGCTGCACGACGCCGAGCCGGCCTGCAGCGATGCTTCTGCGAGGGACGCGGGTAGGAGCTGCACTGCCACGGTCAACACCATACGGGAGCGCCGACCTGGAGACCAAGCACGAAGAATAGAGCGCTACGAACGGCAAGAGGCGCGAGCGAAAAATCGAAGCAATCTCAACCAAAACTCCATGATTCGTTTCCAAATTTTGCACGGATGAAATTCAGCTTGGTACAAACCTATCCCAAAAAAATCAGCACCTGAGATTAACCCAAACTCCAAACTCTGGGAAATTTAGATCGTAGCTGAGAACAAAAATGAGGAAAAACGAAGAACACAGTTGAACAAAACTCACACATAAAAGTGACGAATCCCAGAGGGCATGAGGAGGATTCGGGCCTCCATTCCCACTCGAAATCATAGCATACACAACCACAAATTTGTTTTAGTTGTGGACCTCTCTCAACAACACTAAGGGAGGGGAAAACCTAGGAATAAAGAGAAAAACAAAAAAAATGAGAAGAGGTGAGAGTGATGGGGACACGCTCATCCTATTTAACAGGGCTATTACATAATCCCAATTTTACCTCTAGATATTTTTGAGCCGAACCACAGACCTTCACCGCTCCCAATCCATCGGCACGGCATGGCCCTAATTGACCTTCACCCCGCCATCGACCACCGCCTCCGAGCTCTAGACCTACGCCCCACAAGCAAAGAGACATATTGCACGACCAAACTCACGCCATGGTTAGTTCACCGACTCAACCCAAGACGTAAGTCACGTTGACAATCACTCATCACAACCGAACCACAAGGACATATATCAACCTTGTGTTCGCATATATAAGTATAGGTACCTCTCTAACCCAGAATAGCAGATATTTTAGGATCTATCAAAGATACCAATGTTTAAGATAAAAACCTTAGTACTCCTACAAATAGAATTAGAGATGCAGGTCTATTTAGAACGTAGGAATTTTACGGGATTTGCATAGGAATTTCATAAGAATAAGTTTAATTTTATAGGAGCAGAGCAGAAAAAAAATCTCGTATTTCAAACAAGAACAGAAAAAAGTGAATTGGAAAATAACAATGACAATTGTTTTGAATCACAATTTAAATAATATAAGGTTAAGTATTTTAGAACAGAGCAATTATATGAGATGACGCTACCTGACCCTATAGGTTATGATACCCGTTGCTATCTATGTACATGGACCATCCTGCACCGCACGTGTCATGAGGGCGGTACTCAAGATAGTGACACTTCAATTATCTTGTAGAAGCTCTGATGTGACATATGTTGAGCATGAAATAAGGTGTTTTTTTTTAATGAAACAGGAGGGGTTTGATGAAATAAGGTGTTTTTGGTTTCACGAACGGTAACCACAACGCAAAGGAATGAATATCTACGGGAATAGGAACAGATATCTCTGATTACTTGTGTTTGGTTGAACACCAGGTACCCAAATCCTCTTGCCATCTGTTATCACCAAAAATGGAGCGCAACCAGATTTGTAAAGCCATGGATCCGTTGCATCCGGTTACGTCACATATTAAACAAACACTAACTAAACGCGATTGATTCACGGTGTTATCTGATCACGCCCATAAACGACCAGACCAAAGTACCAAACAGCATCTAAGGGCCTTGAAGCTAGAGAGAGAATATAGAACGCACACATAGGCTATTCACAGTTTTTTTTTTTGTCAACGTTAAATCACGGGAAAAGAAAACTCGATTTGCTTGAGATTTGTTAATCATATCTAGGAATTTCCAACCTGCAAACATATATACAACTAAAAACATATGTACAACTAAAACATATACATGGAAGTCAATACAGGCAATTTGCAACCTGAGCTATTACATCCATCATATCGCAATCGCTCAGCCGGTTGGCTCGAGATTCTAGCGAATGGAAAACTGATCCACGCACGGTGAGCAACCAAAACACTGTGAGAGGTGTAAAAGAAAAGCAGCAGAATTACGTCGCGTCCAGTACAGCAGGCAGCAGCCATCAAGAAGCTACTACTCCACAGCAGATCATCAACGGGTAAGGACGGCGATGGCGACGACGGCGTGGGGCGGCGGCGGCGGCGGCGCAGCAACCGGTGGGGTCGCGAAGGGGAGGCTCCGGAGGACGAGGAACCGGACCCGGCGCGGCAGGACGCGCCGCGGCGCCGCGGCAGAGAGCAGGCGCTCCACGCCGCGCGCCACCGCCGCCGTGTACGCCTCCAGCAGCTCCGCCATGATGGACACGAGTATCATGTCTCCTCTGGATGGCAGTGGATGTGTGGATTTTTTCTCCTCTCTCCATGGTGCCTTTTGCGAGTGTACGTGGGTTTACGCTGGGTTCTGTCCTCTTTCGTTGCTTCCTTTATTCACTGATGTTCTCCGCCACTTTGCTCTGCCTCACTGCCTCTTCTTTCGAACAATCGAACGGAGGGTCTCGTTCTATGGATTCTTTTTTTTTTTTTGAGGGGTCATTGTATGGATGCCTTCTTTACTGTAGTCTATTTCAGTTAACGGCGAGCTTATCCGGTTTCAGGTGTGACGTGGGATGGGGTCCGCCCTGCTGTGAACCTGAGATTAACCCAAACTCCAAACTCTCGGAAATTTAGATCGTAGCCAAGAATAAAAATGGGGAAAAACAAAAAACATAAAAGTGATGAATCACAGAGGGCACTAGGAGGATTTAGGCCTCCATTCCGGCTCAAAATCACAGCATACGTAACCACAAATTTGTTTTAGTTGTGGACCTCTCTCAACAACACTAGGGGAGGGTGATGGGGCACCATCGTCCTATTTAACAGGGCGATTACACAATCTCAATTTTGCCCATAAATATTTTTGAGTCGAACCACTAACCCAAGGACGTATTGGTCCAACTCTTTTTCTATCGATCGGACGGCCATGCTTCCTTCACGGATTTGGTTCACCTTGACACAACCTCCGTGATTCCACTACGTGCCGTCCCGTTACTCCTCGGAACCTCCGCTCGTGTTTTGAGGACAAACCCGCGAAACCATCCGTTTTGTGGGTTGATGTTCAACCCACCAAACCGTCCAGGTCTAGTTTTGAGGCCGAAACCAGCAAACCGTCCTCCGATGGTTTTGAGGTCGAAACCACCAAACCCCTCTGATGGTTTTGAGGACAAAGCCACCAAACCCCCGATGCCATCGCGTGTCTGACCTCCTCCAAGCTTGACGCCTTCGCCTTCCTTCTTGACTTGATCAATGCCATCTACATCTCCCATGTAGATGTGTGTCCAGCCTCCGCTAAGTGCCACGACGCTATCGTCCTCCATCTTGACTTGGTCGACGCCATCTTCATCACCCCTGTACTCTTGCACTTGTTGATATCCCCAAGTGTCAGCCATCATGGCAGGTCACCCAGCCTCCTGGTCCCTCGGTCCAAGCCTCACGTCCGTCCTTCACCGCTCCTAGTCTATCAGCACGACACGTCCCTACTTGGCCTTCACTTCGCCGTCGACCACTGCCTCCGAGCTCCACACCTGCGCACCACAAGCCAAGAGACATATTGCATAACCCAACTCACGCCATGGTTAGTTCACCGACTCAACCAAAGACGCAAATCACGTTGACAATCACTCATCACAACTGAACCACAAGGGCATATATCAACCTTGTGTTCACAATCTATCCCTTAATGAGTGCATTGTCAATACCAACACACAACAACTAAGAAAAAACAAAATATAAGAAGAAGAGAAAAACAGAGAACTCACCCAAATGACCAAAAACCAACAAAAGCCAAAACAAGGTCATTTGAGGTGAGCAAAACTTGTAAAACTTAATCCCCAAAGACATAGGCAATGGCTCGACGCAACCAAGCAAAACATAGCTAGCCCACGAGAAGGGGCAACAGACTCAACACCACTAGCAAAAGCAGCTCAAATGCAACTCAAAGTACAACTCCCCATGAATAGATGCAATCTCCCAAATGAATGCATGCACAACTCAAAGTGCAACTCCCCCTGAACAGATGCAATCTCCCAAATGAATGCATGCACTAAACTTTAGGTGGATTTGGAGTGAAAAGCACATTCCCCCCTTGGAAATATCTCTCCCCTTTGTGTGTGGATCATTCTCCCCTTGTTGACATATGCACTTATCAAGCCCTGAAAACTATCACTCCCCCTCAAAATATGCTATGAATGCAAAGGGATGCAGAAATGCAGAAGCTTCAGGAGTATAGCAATCAGATTGAAAAGATGCTCTAACTGGTGCTGTTATGTGTGTAGCAACAAATATAAGTGCTAGCAAATGCTCAAACTGATCGAGACAAAATATGACACTTAAGCAATTTTGATAAAGTTTAAGCAATTCAAGAAAGGGTTTACCACTGAAACTAGCACATAGCAGGTATAAGCAGGAAATCAACCTGGTGCTAACAAGTGTATACAAAGTGAACTACACCAAGCAGCGGTCACACATCATGTCAAACACATACCTAAGACTATCATCCTAGGCTAATAAGCAAAGCAATCACCACGAAAGGGAAAACGTGGTCCGCTGGGGGAAAAGCGATCACCACAAGGAAAATCTGGTACGCTAGGGGGGTAAAAGCCAAAACCACGCTATGGGATCCATAATCACCACGATCATGACATGAACCCCACTGGGCATGACCACCGAGTGGTCTCATAACTTGAGGCCTAGTACCTTGAGGCATTGCACCTCTAGGCCTAGCACTGCGCCTCTGAAAAGGATCTAAACAATGCCTAGAGAGGGGGTGAATAGGCGTATCTAAAAATTTCTACGTAATCTCAAGTCAAATGTCAGTGATAGTCGGAAGTCCTGACAGTTTGGGCCAAAACTTCCGGTAGCTGGAAGTTCTAACGCAAATAGCCGGGAGTTCCGACACCTATAAGAATTTCACTACAAGTGCTAAAATGAACTTTGAGTGAAAGTTATCTTACAACCCCACTCCCTAGTGGTAAAATGAAGTGTTGGGGTTGCTCCTTTGATGCCGGAATGTCACCATTCCGTAGATCGAGTCCAAACCCTAAGAGGAGAGTTGGGGAGGAATACAAACCAACAAGAACAAATATGATAGCACGAATTACAACAACAAGAATGTGGGACATAAGAATTTATCTCGAGGTTCAACAACCCCACAAAGGAGCTCCTATGTCCTCTTTGTTGAGGTGACCACAAAGGTCGGAGTCTCTTCTACCTCCTTGCTTCTATCAAAGCAACCACAAAGGTTACTTGAGCTTTCCACTAAGAAATCGAGGGTAATACAAACTTCCCAAGACTCTTCCATAAAATGGAAGCTCTTGGGCGATGCCTAGCTGGCTAGGGTTCAAAGAACCCAAGAGTAATAGACGCAAATCCAACCGGCTTGACAAAGAAATCAAGTGCTCAATCTTGCCAAAATGATTCTCTCACTCAATCCACTCTCCTTTCACTCAAAACCATAGGGGGATCAAAGATTGGAGCAAAGGGGAGAGGAGAGGGGCGCCTTGAATGCTTGGGAGCTGTTTTAGACAAAGGTTGGTGAGCAATGAATGAGTGGTACCCAGTTAGAAGAGAGGAGAGAGCTCTTTATACTCATAGGCAAATCCAACCGTTCAGATCTGAGTCAGAAGTTCTGACATAGATCACCGGAACTTCTGGCACTACGCAAAAGTATTGTTCACGCAGACAGTCCACTAGGCTTGCTCGCATATTGTCGAAACTCCTTGCGGTCGTTGGGACTTCTGGCAGCTGGGACTTTCGACTTTCGTTGGGACTCCCGACAGACATGGCAAGCCAGGCGACTAAGTCCCAAAGCATCGAGACTTCCGACGGGTGCTAGGACTTCTGGCACCCGGAACTCTCGACTTCCATCGGGGCTTTCGATGGGCGAAGGTGCGCAGGTGGGCTGTGGCTAAGTCAGCAAGCACCGGGACTTTTGGCACCAAACATTGGGACTTCCGAGAGCCAAAACTCCCAGCTCACACTGGGACTTTCAACTATTAAAAGTCCACAAACTATGTCCAAGTGTTCAGAAAGTGATTTTGTGTCTCTCTTTTGATTTTATTTTTATGCTTGAGCACTCTATCTTCCTCAGACCACCTAAACTTGCATCCCTCTTTATAGCACGGCATACCTAAACCCAAAACACAAAAGCTTTTGAGAGCACTTTGGGTTCGTCCGCTTTTTGCACTTGAAGAATTGAGGGATACCATTTCATCTTAGGTCAACTCTTTTAAAGCTTTCAAGGGACTAAAGCTGCAATATATCTCATTAAGATCTCATTAGTCCCTAATTTGGATGTCATCAATGCACCAAAACCCACATAGGGGGCAAATGCACTTTCAATCTCCCCCATTTTGGTAATTGATGACAACCAACTTAGGCTTTCATAAGAATGAAAGAATTTAAAGCTTTTGAACCCCAAAATTTACAGAGAGCTCTGCCTTAATATATGCAATGAATTTGAATTTCAATGATGATCATCAACACATCACTTGCATATCTTAAGATAGAAACTCCCCCTAAATTTTGCAATCTATGGGGTGCAACAAGTGTATGTCAACAAGTGAATATTTGTGAAAAGGAGATGCAATATGACATGTGATATTCACACAAGTAAAAGAAAATATGATGGCCAAGATCCCAAAGTAACAACTTGAAACAACACATGGCCATCCAAAATAGCATCCACCATTCACATGTAGAGACTAATAGATATGTAGATAAACATTACTTGTCCTACAATCATCCATCACACACACAAATATAGTTTTCCATCACATAGTGCCACCACACGACATAGTTCATACAAGCTAAAAGTTTTAAAGTCTCACAAGCTCCAAGCGACCAACTAACTTATTACAATAAGATCAAAGCCTAACACTCCCCCTTTGTCAACAAGTGCTAAAAAGGGTAGGCCGTGTGAAAGAAATGACTACTCATCGTCGTAGTCATCGTCATCGTCATGGTCACCACCATCATCATCGTCATCATCTTTCTTGCGGTACTCCTCATCATCGATATCCATTTGTGACTTGCCATGAGGACGGGGCTGATCGGACGACTCTCCATAGTATCCCTCGCAAGCCTCATCATAAAGCTCGAAAGGATCATGAAGTTGCTCCAAGTCTCGAGGCGGTGCGGAGTGAATGTCAAGCTTCTGCTCAATGTGATGCATCCGCACTAGCATCTCGTGCTCACGCTCAGCACTCGCACAACAAGTTCCAAATAGATACTTCATGAAGAACTTGAACTTGCTGGGGGGCTTACCACTAGAGGAAGAGG